TTTAGGTTCATATGGAAGACACTGAAGAAGCTCAGGAGAAATCTTCTCAACAAAATGAAGATAGTCAAGATAGTCAAGATGACATTCAAGATACTATTGTAATATTTGCTACTTTTATAATATTATATTATATACTTTTATAAATATCACAATGTTTCATGAGATATATATACATATTGTTATTCATTTATAGGGAGTTAGCAAATGGGAACGTATGGAAGCTGAAGATAAATTAGGTTTGTCGTTATATACATTATGAAATATTAGTATACAAACAATTCACAGTTTATTTAACATTATCAATTTAAAACAGATCGTTTGGATGGGTTAGCAAAAAAGAAAAATGAAGGGAAAGTGCAAACTATGAAAGATTTCCTTCAAGTTCCCGATTATTATAATATGGAAGATACTTCTGGTAAAAAACGCGTAAGTGTAATTTTTTTTTCATCAGTAAAAAGTTCATATAAAATTATCATGAATTGTTAAATTTAATAGGTACGATGGGCAGATTTAGAAGAACGTAAAGAACAAGAAAAAATGCGCGCTGTAGGATTTGTAGTTGGTCATACAAATTGGGATCGTATGATGGATCCCACAAAAGGAGGAAGCGCCTTAACACGCACAAAGTATATATGATTTAACTTTACTTCTAGGTTACCTAGAAAATATGATAAAAACTAGTATTATTCACATGTAAATAATTTATACGATTATCTTCTAAACAATGATTTTTTTGTATTTTTACAAACTTCAAAAGAAAACTTCGTAGAAACATAATAAAATATATAAGATCAAGTTATCGTTCAAATTTACGATTAAAATCTTGTGTAAAAAGTTGCATTATATTAGAAAAAATGTTTTTTTTATAGTATTATTGATATCATAGACTGTTTTCTTAGTAATACTATTCTCTCACAGTTAAATGTTACAATTTTATAAAGTTTCTTACGAATTTGTTAATATCGTGATATTTTTATGAAAAAATATTTTTCAAATCCGATAAATTTATTATATTTTCACAATTTATTTGAACAAAGAACTTATAGCCAAAGCATTATATTTGTATTTACGTAATTTGTATATGTCTGTATATGTATTTATAAATTGGTCCATTTTCTGAAGAGAATTTTCAGTTTAGATGACTAAAGTAAGATGATGTGTGATTTTAATTTTTCTATAGACTGTAATGTGCATTTTTATGAGTATAAAAGAAATTTTTTTGTACATTTATATATGAAAAATATTTTCTTTCTGATTTGATTTTCTTCAATTATATAAAAAATTTTTGAAAATTATAAATGTTGTTTTATTCTAAGCATTTGAAACATCGTCGTTATCATAAGCGTCTTTTCTATAATATATTTTTATATAAGATATTAGATATTCAATGCCTTATATGATCATTGTTATATTGCAGGTTTTTCTCACTATCATAATGACATATTTTTATTCGGCTACAATAGTGTACAGAAGTGAACACTCGAGACGTCTACAAATATTCAAATTCTTCAGATGATGTATGGTTCTAATACACCCTTATAGAAATTTATACAGCTACTGTAAAATCTTATTAATTTATGTAAAGCATTCTGAAGTTATTGTATATATCATTAATGGAATTGTTTTTATTATACATTTTTATATTTACTTTATGCATAATAATCTATAAGATAGATTGAAAGCTTAAGTATATGCGATCATCATACACTGCCTGTTCAGAATTATAACACTGAAAATATATTCATTATTCGGTTTAAAGAATAATTGTATTGATAAAGTAAAAAAAAAGAAAAATAAATTGTAGAAAGTTGTTTGATATTTCAGAATTATTATTCTAATTGCATTAAATTTGTGTTTCAAAAGTAGGAAAGTATATTTTACTTACAAATCTACAATATTAAATGTTTTGCAATAACTATATTTTTAATTATAGCACAGACGAGGTATATGAATAGATATTGCATTTTACGGATTTTCCTGACTCGTGATCTAAAATATCGACATATTAAAAAATTACTGGTTTTTTAGCGCACTTTACGTTTAAACAATGGTGCGGTGGGGAACTAATGAATGCACCAGGAATATGATTTTTGAGATTCATTACAGTGTTGTCAAATATTCAATACCGAAATGTGAAGCTCGTCTATGATTATACCAAGTAAAATGATACAAACAAAATGTTTAATTGTATCTTCAGATTCCCAAACACAAGATTAGTATTTAAAATTATTCCATTTTTTTATTTGTGTATTTATGTGTAGAAAGAGCTCTATTCATGTTTTACGAATTCATCGATTGGTTTTACGTTGGAAACGATAAAATCAGTTTAACAGGATTTCTTATTTATTGAAATCTATTTAGGGACGAAATGGATCTGATTTTTAATTAAAAATGAGACATAGAATAGATCTATTGCGTTTTATCAAATCATGTGATGAAATAACCAATAGTCTTTGTCAATACTCCCAAAAACACTGTTTCTATTACATTAATCAATTTTACAGTTTTTAGGTTTTTTTTGTTAAAATTTTACAATTTATTTCCCGCCAATTTTCCTCTAGTCGCTTTCCTATTAGCGACGTAAAGAGCTTGCCCTCTAGCTTAACCTGGCGCGCAAAATTGAAATATTTTACGCGCGTCATTCAAAACTCAGTCAATAAACTGACAGTTTCAGGCGACATAATTATAAGAAATTTATAAAAGTTTACTTTTCTACCAATAAAAATGCATGTATATACAAAAATAAACATATACAGTAGTTTTAAAATGAATATATTCTACGTACAAAAATGTAAGTATGGAATTACAAATTATATTATTAACTACAACACTTTATACTCCTGTTATTCTTGTATATACACGTTCATTTTTGTACAGATTTAAGAAGTAGACAATTTATTGGAGTTGATTCTTGTCTGACCACATGAAACAATATAAATAAATAAAAATTAAATTATTTACATTATTATTTTAATATATAAATACAACGGAGTAATGAAAAAGTAATGAATAATTTTAGACTATTTTTTATATATTTACTAATAATGTAATATTTTGGATTTAATTTTATGTAGTTTTTATATAACTTTCATATAATTGTATATAATTTTCAAAGATAAAAGATACTTATATTTTGAAATAGTTTCATCCAAAACTACTTTTTAAATTTGGCGCCTTTTTATGGCTTCTCGTTGCAATGTGTAGTTGCCTTAAATATCTCAATATTTACGTTGTGTCGTATCTCATAGCTTTTATTCTAAGATTTCTTGCAGTATCTGACGTGTACAAAAATTAAAGTGCATGATCACCAGTAGGTTAGGTCGCAATATTAATCAAACATTTTTTTATTACTAAGAAATCGTACAATCATGCTCGACTTATTTACTATATTCAGTAAAGGTGGTATTGTTCTATGGTGTTTTCAAAGCACCTCACAAATATTTGCACCCAGTGTTAATGCATTAATACGAAGTGTCATATTGCAAGTAAGTATTCCTGTTAAGGAATATTTTTTTTTTAAATTTCATTCATGAAATGCTATTAATGATTTGAGCGTAGAAATACTTTTCATATACAAATAACTGATCATTAAACAATTAATTTTTTTTTTTATAATTTCTACAGGAACGTACAGGGAATCATACATTTGAATACGATTCCTTACGCTTACAGTACAAACTCGATAATGAATTTGAGCTGGTGTTTGTTGTTGCATATCAAAAAATATTACAATTATCGTATGTAGACAAATTTTTAAATGACATCCATTTAGAATTCAGAGATAGATTCAAAAATGAATTGGAGAACTCTAAATGGTTTTATAACTTCGAATTTCAAAATGATTATGAGCAAGTGCTTGCTATGGCTGAACAATGGGCAAGGACTCAGGCTAAGATACCTAAACAAATGCGTACCTTCGATGAAAGTCAAAAATCAAAGAAGACTGTTGCTAGTATGATTGAACGAAAAGATGATAAAGATAATAAAAAACAGGGTATGTAACAATTGCAACATGGAAGTTTTATTCACAGCACATGTTTTATTTATTTCAAATACATAGCCTTTAATAAGCTTTATACATTACTAATTATTTCATTTCTGTAGATTAATGCTATCTATATCTTTTTTATATTATCGTTTTTTTTCTTATATTTAAAACGGTTTGAATGTAATTCTTTATGTAATACAAGTAATTCTGTTATTTATGGTTATAAGGTTGACAATGGTTTTGGACTAATGTAAAATTTTTGGTCTTTTCATTTATTTCTTACTAGTGAGTATCATGAGTTATCTGTTTAGAATCTAATATAGAATGGCAAAAAATTTTCATTTAGGTAGTAATATATCGTTTTCAGTATGGAAATGGGGGTCTTCGCTTTTAGGTAAAAGGAAAAAGGGAGTTAATACTAATAAAGATGATCAAAGTGAGTGATTTTGGATTTTACATATATATGTACATATCAATGAATTATTCACTTTTTCTATGGATCAACAATATTAACAATGACTAGATAGGGGAATTAATTTACTAAATAAGTTAAATTTCTAATGAATTATTAAATATTAAAAAGATTGAATTGATAATATAATTATGAAATTATTAAAAAATGAAAAGTTTTATTTTTTAATAATTTCATAATTTTTTACTTAATTTTACAGTGAAAATTCAAGAGGCACCAAAACAGGATTTATCACACAATCAAGTAAGTCATAATGGAGAAATAAATGAAGAAGTTTTAATTGCAAATCGTATGAAATTGGCTCAGAAAATGAATAATCAAAAGAAGAAAGTTGATAAGCAGTGAGTTTCTTAATTTTTGAAATAAGAAGATTTTATTATATTAAATAATATGAATTACATGAGATATTTATATTTCACAGAAAAGGTCAAAAACCTGAGAAAGCTGGCAAGAAACCTCGTGTATGGGAATTAGGTGGGACCATCAAAGATCTTGCTGCTTTGGAACGCACCAAAGATAAACCAGAAGAAAGTGGTGATTATGTGGCAGCTGATAAAACAGTATAAATCATTCATTTGTTTTTTGTTAATGATGATTATGTTTAATAATTTATTTATTTGTAATTAAAAAATGGATTATTCAAATTATTCTTTTAGTGAGTCAAAAATTGAATTCATTAAATTGTTTTTTTAGTTAGTGGGCCAGATGAAAGGTGGTATTCGTGATATAGTAGTTGAAAGTGACTCCGAGGATGAATCTGATGAAGAAATAGAAAATTCCAAGCCACAAGTACAAAAGAAAACCAACAGCATGTTTTCAATGTTTAAAAGTTTGGTTGGTAACAAATCGTTGAAACGCGAGGATATGGCTCCGGTTTTAGAAAAATTGAAGGATCATTTGATTTCAAAAAACGTAGCAGCCGAAATTGCTCAAAAATTATGCGATTCTGTTGGTGTGAAACTTGAAGGAAAAGTGCTTGGTACGTTTGATAGTGTAGCTAATACCGTTAAAGCCACATTGACAGACGCATTGGTACAAATATTGTCTCCAAAGAGACGTGTGGATATTCTGCGAGATGCAATGGAAGCGAAAAAGAACAGTAGACCTTACGTTATGACCTTTTGCGGCGTGAATGGAGTGGGAAAATCAACAAATCTAGCGAAAATTTGTTTTTGGCTTATAGAGAATAATTTTCGTGTGCTAATTGCAGCATGTGATACATTTAGGTATCTTATTTAATTAGTACATCGTCATTCGTTTATTAATTTTCTATTTTAATATAGATATATTTTCATCTAATTTTATTTCAGAGCTGGTGCAGTTGAGCAATTGAGAACACATATGCGCCATTTGAATGCTCTTCATCCACCAGAGAAACATGGAAATCAAACTATGGTTCAGTTGTACGAAAAAGGTTATGGAAAAGATGCTGCTGGTATTGCTATGGAAGCGATCCGTTTCGCTAAGGATTCGAAAATCGATGTGGTTTTAGTAGACACTGCGGGCAGGATGCAAGATAACGAACCGTTAATGAGAGCCTTAACCAAGTTGATTAAAGTAAACGAACCAGATCTCGTACTTTTCGTTGGCGAAGCTCTTGTTGGAAATGAAGCTGTTGACCAATTGGTGAAATTCAATCAAGCATTAGCCGATCATAGTCAATCCAACAATCCTCATATCATTGATGGCATTGTGTTAACTAAATTTGATACAATTGATGATAAGGTGAATAGAATTTGTTGATAGGATATAATCAAATAGCTATAATCAATTTGATATAGCTATAGCTATAATCAAATAATGACATATTGTTATATTATTTATTATTTATATTGTTTTGGGTTTTCAGGTAGGCGCGGCGATTTCTATGACCTATATTACCGGACAACCTATTGTTTTCATTGGGACAGGGCAAACTTATACCGATTTGAAATCATTAAACGCAAAAGTGGTAGTACATGCGTTAATGAAGTAATTATTGATTTGAATAAAGAAGACGATATTAAACTTATTATATAAAAAAAAAAATAATTAAAATTTCGATGGATTGTTATTGACAATTTTAAGGAATGAATTATCTCTATTACCATTATTATTATAATTATATACAAAAAGTTTAGCGAGAATAATATATTATCATGTTTAAATATGTATTATTTTTGATCATATTTGATCGATCTATAGTGCTTTTACAATAATTATTTTAATATGCTAGACGATCCGATAAATACTGCTATTCCTAGAAACGCTCGCATTCCTTATAAATGATTTATCGTATAAATTTATAGAATATTTTAAAAAATATAAATAACAGAATTAAAAGAAAGAAAATGGAATATCATACATTTCTTGTATGCTTCGCTTTTCTTTCCATAATTGTTCCATTTTACGTGGTCCGTTTTCTGTAATATTGATTTCTCTAGTCCACATTTTTGATACCTGTTGAATATGTATCGAATAACCGACTGTATATTGTTGCATCGGTCGAATACGCGTCAAATATGCGTTGAATACAATGTTTAACAAATTGTTTAATAAATTTTACAAATTTTTCTAGGTTTACGGTTCTAATTTCTTCCTTTATTTGCATTCACATGCAAGCGTAATGCTTCTGCTGTTATCGATAATAAGCACCCGCCTCAGATATGAGCCATCGGTAATTGATCGCCGTCACAGCTGTTTCCTTCTTTGACTTTCGACTCCTGTGAAGATTCCTCTTCCAATTCCCAGTGGGCTTCATCGTCGAATTTTTGCTCCTCGGAAATAGAACCGCAGATCGACATCCGCATCATTAAACCTACACAGGAATTTATTTGCCCCAGTGCGATGTCGATATGATCTCAAAGCGAGCTACATATAAATTTCTGCTATATATATATATATATATATATATACACTAGAGGAAAAAAGAAATCGCACCGTAGAGGAGTACAATGCTTTACGAAATAATAATTAAAACTTGGAAAAAATTTGAGCAACTTTTGCATCGAATATTTTGAAACTGATTAATATTCTGGATAATTGTTTATGTTCTTTTCTTCTAAAATTCGAGGGAAATCCAATGAAGAGTCGTGCAATTTATCATTATCAAATGCGGATAATCAATGAGAAACAATTACCTGTTATTAATCCTGAAACGATAGCGATTCCCACTGTAATTGCTAGTACTAATAATTGATAGCCAGCCTGCTCCCCCGCTGTTCTGTTAAGCCCAGCTGATATACCATAATTGTCCCTCATTTCAGCTAACTTTGCTTCAGAGTTTGGTGCTCTCGCAGGGAAGATCTAACAAAGAGAAATCAGACTTTCAATGAAACAATATATGAATTATAAGTTTAAAGATTACTCATGACTCTTAGCAAGCTACGAAAAAAATCTTTATATCTGAACAATTCTAATTACAAAGTAATGGAAGAAGATTTGTAAGTCCACAATAAAATTTGATATCTCTCAGTAATTCCAAAAGAGGGAAATTTTAGAAATAAAATGTATAGATCATGTATTTTGATAATCATTCAAGTCTTTTATATACATTTGTTAGTCAATGTTTTTGGATAATTTATAACAGACGTTTAGTTGTGTGAATGAATGAACCAATAAAAGTGTGAGTGAGAATATTGAACGACAGTTGTATAGTAACTAAGTGAAAAGTGTTATAAAGTGATTGTATAGAATGAGAGAGTGTAAGAACAGCAAGTGGTTCATGTTTGGAAAGAGAATGTTTAGAATCTGATAAGAAAAGGAACATAGTTCCAGAATTTTTAACATATATGCATGCCTAACTGATTTGATCATTCTGATTGAAAATTTTTAAAATATCAACAGAAAAAAGGTGCAGAAATTTCCATCACCTTCTATCAAATTCAAAATCTATCTAATCCAAGTAACTTTTAACAAGATCTATTGATACAGAGAATACAGAGCAAAAAGCTTCGCACTTAGTTCCAGAAGTCTCAGCACATATGCACGTTTGAATAATTCAGTCATTGGAAATTTCTAACATATCAAAAGAAAAAGTGAACAAATCGCAATATCAAAAATCCATCCAACGTCAACCTTCGTCTTTTATCAAATCCAAGATCTACTCAATCTAAGTAACTCCAGATCCATTGACATAGAGAACACAGAGCAAAGATCTCCGCAGTGATCCCCTGGGATTTAGCTGTTGTAAAGTCCAAAGTTCCATTGGTTAGCAAACAACAGTAACAGTAGCCAGGAGTTTCTTACTTTCACCAAGTGGGATGTTCGTTTCACGACCGATAGATTAAACGGTCTCTGAGGCTTTTTGCCCTGGTAGAACAGATAGAAGTTCGTTGCTATTCGCACTGGCTAGTCGCATACATGAGTCGTTCCTTACGACTTTCTCGATTACCGATTAGTTCTCTCTTACAAAAGGGAGTAACTTACGCACCTCGTACAGGGAGTAATCGTAAGAAGCTTCATTAGCGAGGCCTGCCATCAGCGCGCCGAAGATACCACCCAAAATGCCGGGCATCCCGTGGAGATTGTGCACGCCGCACGTGTCGTGAATCCTCAGACGTTTTTGGATCAGTGGCTGGAAAGAAGAAGCGGAAGAATCGTGACTGAAAGCCTGGCTATCGCAAGTTCGAGGAAGATTGCTGTAAAGAGTGAGTAAATTCTCGTCGATCTCTTATTCTTTTTAATTTGATTTGTTGCTTGATACTGGTTAAAAAAAAACTGGTATGCAAATTCTTTTTGCCTGAAATGTTTTGTCTCAAAATCTACGCAGCCCAACAAATTGATACAATGAAATAGTTCAATTTGCCAATTTTTTCATTGAAGATGAAATTCATGTACATTCAAGCACAAGATCGCTAGCAATAAATTATATCGTGGTTTTTAAATTCGTAGCAAAGTATATTTTTTATTCAAAGAGTACGATAATTTAAATGACATTCGATTAAAATATTATTTACATGTAACGTAAAATATTATTTACATATTTCGCCTTCTGTAGAATTAAACATTGATAATTAATATTCAAGTCGGAAATTTTCAAAATTTCTTGTATTTATGGAAACTAAAATTGAAGCAAAGACTGGTTGAGGATTAAGATAATAAATTGTAGGATAAAGTTAGAATGATGGTTAGGACGATTAATGGTAAAGTGGATGAAATCTAAATTATAATTAAGGTATTAGGGGTTGATGGGTGTAGATGAAAAGTAACGATTGAGTATTTAATTAGGACGAAAGTATCAATGGGATTTGAATCTGAATGGGACAGTAGTTTGTGAAATTTTTTCTTTTTACTTTGGAAAATCAATTTAATTTATTTCCAGCATCAGTTGGAACATTTCTCTCTCTCCTTTTTTTTTTTT